GCGCATTGCCTTCCGCATGGGTCAATTCCGGGTGCATCTTGAAGTACATCGTATGTAACCCGCCTACCCGTAAAGCGGTGATGACGCGCGCGTAGTCGCCTTCAGTGTTGGTATCAACTTCGTAAGTGAAGACCTCCCGATTCGGCAACGGATTGAGCGGCAGAGAGGGAAGACTAGACCGCACTCGCTGGCCCGTTGGACAAGCAGGAAGACACGTTACTACATTTTCGGCCCACACGCACATGCCCACTAGAGAGTTACATGTTTGCTCGTCTTTGCCCAACGTGTAGCAAATCACTTCGGTCGGACACTCGAAGGTCGACTGAAACGTCGTCTCTTTGCGGTAGACGTAGAGCATGAACGACGAATTGCCGAAGAAAACCGGATCCCCGTAATGGTCTCTGGCGATCAGCTGATAAAAAGCCTTAGTCCCAGCAATCGGATGCTTCCCCGCTTCCACGTTGATCGCGTTGATGGTCGTTTTCTCCGAAAAACTGATGTGATTCACTAAGAAATCCCTGTTAATGGGCACCGCAGTTTGGCGCACGTAGAAAATGTGCGGCGCAGCAATCACACGCTCACCCTTGATCTTGACCTCAAGCATGTAAAACCCCAAACGCTGTGGCGTGAAGAATAAGCCGTATTTGCCGTCTTGCTGGCGCACCTTCTCTACTGGTATCAGATCCGTAGCCGTCGAAGCCGAGATGTCGAAGGCGTCGATCAGGTCTGTGGGATAGATGTTCGGCTTTTCGGTCTCGCTATTGATTTCCGGTCCCCCATTCGAATTGTGCTGTCGTTCTGTACCAGGAATTCGCGCAAGTGTTACAGCAATGGAATCGAATTCTTGCTGCAAGAAGTTCGAATCTCCCAACCCTTTAGGGATGTTACCGCACTGGTCACGAAGATAGAGAAATACCGCAGTTGGAATCCCACTTCGCGCATCATACAATCCTAGCGGACACACGCGAGTACAACCGCCACAGCAACCGCCGTGGTTTAGAAAGTCTTCATCTTTGCTGACACAGAGACAACACGGCAATGGTTCGATTGTATCGGTAGAATTTTCCCACGTAGGAATCAAAGGGTCACAACTAGCATCGTGGCGATCACCCTCCGCTGATAGCAAGTAACTCTGCAGAGCGACGGCGCTGCCGCTCAAAGCCTCCACGGTAGCCTCGTAACTCAGGAGCCAATTCGCTGTCGGATACACGTTCGTCACGTAGTCGTTCACCAAGATCTGTGATGGTAACTCATTGTCAATGCCGAAAAAGTCCAAGCTTGTTGCACGAGGCAAGAAATTGCTCAAATTTCGTGTGTTTTCGAACGAAAGCTGTGTATCCTCTAAGAGCCAAGACTGCACTTCCCACAGGCGCGACTTACAGATCGTGTACTTGACGTCGTAAGTGCCATCCAGGTTGTCGTAGACCTCCCACGTCACATCAGGGGGAAATTCGCCACCTCGTGGCCACGGGAGGTTGGATCGGTAACAAGTTAGAACGTAATACCGAAGTCAAGTCCATCTGGAATAAAACAACTCACTATATTACCTAGACATGGTTTATTCCCTCTCAAAGCAGAAGGCGGTCCGTCTCAGACAGATTCTCAAGATGGATTCCTCTGAGCCTTAAATCAAACGCCGTGGTCATGGCGTTCAGCGCCATCGCGCGATCGCTCCAACTGTTTTCCACGAAACGCAACTGGAAATTCGATCCGCCCATGAAATAGTCGTAGTTGTAAGAATCACGTGTCGTGATCACGTAGCTGGCTGGCTCTCCGGCAATCACCGCGCCAGGCAAGTGGCGGAAGAAGGTGTGCTGCAGCCCATTGCCTGAAGCAATCGTGAACCCGGGGTCGATCGGGTCGAGAACTATGACCGGTCTAAACGGATTACCGTCTCGAACATTGACAAAAGTGCCACTAGAAGGTGAGTAGAGAGTCACAAGCATTTCGTAGATTCCAGATGCGACGATCAACCTTAGGGGTGTCCGACATTCATCTCTGAGCCTCATACTATAGTGCCTTCTTTCTAGTGAAACGCATTGCGCCCAATCTGGTGGCCAGAAAGGTCAGGAGATTCTTTCAATCTACCCGGCATTACAAAAAAAAATTTTCCTGAAATCTCCAAATCCAAATCTTCTTTCTTGTACTCCAGCTGAATAGTTGTACTGGACACAGAAATAATGACGAACCTCGGAGATGAATCACACGAAGCCTTAGCAAGAAAGACACCCCATACGTCCCATCGCCGTTGTCAACCACCGTCCCCTCAAAGTACCCAACCTCCGGACGCATGTTATGCAGGGGACCACGAAAACGCACTCTGTATTGGTCTCCTCCGTCGATACGTGGAGAATTGTTGATGTCACGACTCTGCAAGACGAAGAGGTACTCCTTGTTCAATTGTACCGGATCCTCAATGGCCCAATAGCCGGGAAGAAACTCCGTATACCTGGGATCGGACTCGACTGTGCGAACGTAGAGCGTGATCGGTGAATTTGTGATGTCCACTGTTCCCAACATCACGTGCAGTTTGCGCTCATACGTTCCCGCAAATGGGTTTCCTGCGGGCACACGACCAGCATCAGATTGTAACTTTGGCGTAAACTCGGCAAGGAAGTATTGCAATGCAGGAACATAGGAGACCCTAGGAGGGGTCTGCACGTTGGCTTCGTCTGTGCCGTCTAGATTGCGAATCGCCAGGTTGATACTAGAGGCCATCGAAGCGATGGGAATGGGGAAATTCAGATTGTCACGGAGATTCACACGTACAGCAGACGTGGTCATGTTCGCTACGGCCATCGAAGACATCGTTTTCACAGCTCCCAAGGTCTGCACGGTGGAATAGCGCGTACTAGCTTGTCCGGCAATCGCTTGTAGACCCTGAAAAGGGGAGTCGCGAATGTCCACCACCGATTTGAAGCAGTCTCCAGGAATGTCGAACCAGCGACCCTTTGACATTGGGTTTCCATTCATATCCTTGTTAGGACTGTAAACTACCCACTTCAACTTCACTTTCCGCGCTTCCTTGCCCTCTGTCGGACGTGGCGTCGTCAGTTCTATTTGAAACGGGAAGAGTTTATTCACGACATCCGCAATATCCGGATACGTACCAATGCAGAACCAGCCAGGCATCTCCTCATCGTTCTTTTGATGGCAGGCCGGATACAATATGCTCGCATCCAAATTTTCCAACGGTGTATGTGCACTCCCAGGTTCGTAGAATTCGACCAAACTAGGGACACGCTCTTTGCCTGCAGAGTAGCGATCTCGGAAATTCCAGAACAGTATACGGACTGTGACGTCTTGGGTAGCCCAAATCCCGATCGCAGGAGGCGCAAGGACTCTCCCTGCTACGGCGTTCAATAGAGGTGCCATACCACATTGATCGAAATGGAGTAGGCCTGTAAATCTCGCGAACGCTGGCGCATCGTCAATGTCCCACGACCATTCGGCGTTAGCTCCGTTGAAGGAATTGAGGATTAGACAGAGAGCTGGCACAAAAAAAAAACAGGTCGCTAAATAGAAGCATGATCCACTTCCAGATAGTACTAAATGTTCAAGTACTTATGATGAAGACATGGAAGAAACAAAAAACTGTAGAAGTAGCTGCGCTGTAGCCATAATATAAAGCTGATATCCGGCAAAGTCGGGACGCCGCGACGCACCGCCGCAGACAGCCAAAGATCGGAGCGGATGCCTTTTAGGCTTTTGCCGATACGTAGTTGGAATGGGCCTGTGGCGTTTGGTGTGATTTTCAGCACATGGACGCCTGGAACCCGAATGGCGTCTGGCCCGTCTGGCACTGGAGAGTCTGCCGCTACCTTCAGTTCCCCGTAAGCCCACGTTCCTAGCAATTCCGTCTTGTCCGGCTCTTGCGATTGATACCCGATCAAAAACTTCTCATTCAAGTCAGGAGATTGCTCCACAGTCAGATTCTTAGGATCCGCATTGCCCATCACCGACATCACCTCCATGCTAATTTCAGTGGCAACTAAGTAGTCGACTCCTGTGTGTTGCTTACAAGGGCCAGAGAGACAGTAAGACCGTTTCGCATCGGCAGTGTCGCGATCCCAGATGAAAACCTCTGTTTCCGATAGTTTATAACCCGATCGCTGCAGCACCGGATTCACATGACTGTTTACGATGCCCTCTCTATGAATCGGATGCAGTGGTCCTGGGTGGCCGCTCTGCAGATGTGGGTCTGGATACAGGAAGAGGCGAAATTTCAGAACGTCATGGTTATAAATCCCATCGTCGTAGATCGGGATTCTGACTACTTTGACCGTATCCACCTGTTGCTGATCCGGAGGCATCGGTGTTTCTCGCGTCATGCGTGAGTTCTCTTTCAGCACAGTATGACGGGGACGCGCAGTAGTGCCTACTGGATTTTGCACACTGCTCTCGAGCTTCACCATCGTCTCACCAGGCGCGGAGAAAGTTCCGGCAGGCACGACGGGCTCGCCCTGTGGATCGATGATCACGTTGGCGGCGTGTAGGAGAGTGCCACTAATGCGATCATCATCTGGATGGCCTAAATTCGACGGATCAAGGTGCGACAATGACCGCTCCAAAACCCCATCATCCTCTAATAAGCTCCGCATCGATCGAACCGTCTGGTTTCCATGCTGATATACAGCTGCTGCTGCGCCGCTGCAGGTTCTCGGAGGTGGCGACGAATGATCGCTAAAATAAGTACGCGTATCCGCTAAACACACCTGCGACCCTCGTTCCAAAGCCTGCAAACTGCGACGACCATTCACCTCAGCGAGTGGCGACCCCGTTGCAGGAAACGAATCGTAATCAACGTTATTGTCCTTCCATCCGCCGACTACAGGCAGAAACAAATGTGGCGGTTGCGGAGGAATGTCAAACGTCGTGAAAACAGTGGTCTCCCGAAAGTGCGCCAGTTGACCGTCATTCTGCAAGGATCGACTCTTCGCTGTTCCGTCTTCGCTCTGCACCAGCACTGTTACGTTCTTCAAAAACGTTGTATTTCTAATCAGGTTCCGCACCACATAAACGTCTATGTAAGCTTCGTCTTGGTACACATGGTATCTAGGTGATTCAAACTCGAATACCCCGTCTGAGACACATTCGCCGTCGTGAAGAACGAAGAGTGGATCGCAGAGAGTGCAGCGCACAGCTTCGGATTCGACTCCACGTGTGGTGAAAACGCGTTCACATGTTTGACAGTGAGGGAAATTCAAATGACAAGCCTCGCATCGTCCATTCTCCGTACGGTTTGTCAAGAAATATCCCTTGTCGCAGACTTTGCATCCGGGAACGCACCCTTCAATCGGCCCGTTGTTGTCCAGGCACGCGGTGCAGTTCTTACAATGCGCATCGTAGATCAGTCTGCACTTCGGATATAAGCATTCATTAGAATCTTAGACAGAATTTTACACTCCTGAAAACATCCTTGATGACTTCTTTCATCTAACCGCAAAAGGAGGCCAAGGATCGATGTTAGTCAAGGATTATTTGTAAAGCGCTAACAAGGATGCTAGTGAAGTAGGATGTAAAAATGCGAAAGCAAAAAACCTTAAATTTGGGGGTCTGCGTGTCGTCATAGATCAAAATCCTTGCGCCCAGCAAATCCGTCTCGATCATCCGCTCATCTCCATCAACGTGCAAAGGACCATAAGGGTTCACGATGCCAGTTACTTCCACACCGTAATGGAAGACACCAAATTGCTCGTAACCCGTTGAGTTCAAGTCCTTCAACGAGTACCACCCGGGGTCGCACTCGCATTTCTATTAGACAAGAGAGAAAACTACATGTGACTACAGAGTGTGCGAACATCATAAGCGAAAAATCATAACATGTGACTACATACTATGCGAAAAATTAAGGAGAAGGGCGACAACATCATAAGTAATTGCATCGATGTGCATCTCTGTGACGTGCATCTCTGTGACGTACATCCCGGCTGCAAAAGAATGTCAAGGATCGCGCTTGCGGGGAGTGCTGTCTAGTTGTGTGTCAAGCCTTAATTATATGGCTCAATACAGCTCCCATGTCCGCAATCCTGAGAAGGCGCAGGCCAAGACTGACAAAGAGGATAGTCGCAAATTCTACCTGCCCATCCTCTGTTGCATTCGCACATATCAGGCATATACGCTGCTCCATTCACACATGCCGGAAGCGAGATCGGTTTCTAGAAGGAGCAGTTTATTAGGCCCTATCTACAAAAGTTAAGGTGGTTGTTGTTCTGTAATTCTTGGGAACAAAAGGTACTAAAACCAAATCCAGTGTGGCAATGGCGAATCTAGTTGTGTACGTGAGATGAGGTCATGCAGCCTATTTGTACCTTCTGAATAGAAGAGCAAATAGACCGATTGATAAACTATCAAGTATAAAAGTATGCATCATGTGCAGCAGCCTCAGAGACAGTACGTGATTTCAATTTCTAACAACTAAATTGCCAATTACCTCACAACTCACCCCGCCCCACCCGTAGAAGCACTCGCATGTGTTCGTGTAGACGCAAACGCCTTGATCCGCTACACACTCTGGATCGCAAGTAGGGTCCATGCATTGGTTAGCGCTAGTTTTTCCCTATCCCTGGTAGAGTGAAAAGCCCCAGGCTGCTCCCCTTGAAATCAAGGCGGGCGCCACTCAGGCTCAGCGCGCTCCACATCAGGGGATAGTTACAGTGATAAACTAGCCTTAAAATGGGGTCCCTTCCAGCCAGCGTCGCAGTGGCACAGGTCGGGTGCGATACAGGTTCCATGAATGCAATTCGGATGACAGAGAGGTATATCGCATCGCCATCCACTCCACCCTGGATCACACTCACAGCAGCCGCCTGAAGTCGCACGATTCTGCTCAAATTAGAGGGGGCAGATGAGAGAGTGCTCTTATGTCTAGTTCCTGACAGAACATGATGAGAGAGTGCTCTTATGTAGTTCCAGATGAGAGAGTGCTGTTTTGTAGTTCCTCATACGTGCAATAGATGCATACAGGGCTTCTTGTTTCAGTAAAATTTGAAACAGCTTGAACTCTTGAAAAGAGTAAGCCTCCAATATTGGCGAGTTACCTTTGGATTGGGTAAATTAGGCGAGTAGTTGCATATGTTTGTCATAATGAACACAGGAGACCATATGCTTGAAACAGGGAATTTCTTCGTCTGTCTTCCGCGTTTCACAGACTTCCTGCAACTGTGTCAATGTCGGTAGCACTCGCGGCTTCCACGTGATGAAGTTGTACCTCGTTGCGGTGAACAAAGAAATTGATGAATATTTTGAAGGATGAGACTGTCATAGGAAAAGAAGCTGATGCTCGTCACTCGTCAATCCACCTCGCTTTCTAGTATCTGAATATAGCGACAGGCACTGGAGCTGAAAAAATGCTATATTAGAGACCGATAGCGGAAAACCAGCGGCCGCTTAGCGCCCAGAAATGATGAGTCACGGTCTGAGGAGTTGAGGAGTTTACGAAACCCTAAGCAACTATAGAGTAGAAAGCAAACTTCTACCGCAACGCATCTCCACAGCATGCATTGACCGTACACCACTCCCTAGGTACACCGCAACCGCCGTTATTATCGAGCCAGTCCGCCTGTGAGCACGTCTCGGAGCGATTTCCTTACATTAGCGGCCTCAATCAACAAGTTAGTTCGTTGTTGAGCGAGCAAGATGTGGTTGAAAAGTTGCAGAATTGATTGCGCGGCCAATTATGAAATGCGAATAACGCCCTGAGTGATGTCAAAAGCCAAAAATGGCTCCTCTTTGCAGGAGCTACATATTTCTGAGCGTAAAAAGTCGCTTCAAGAAGTAGAGTTCTTTCAAGATTGCATCATCCACCATAAACACAATGGGCTCGCCGTCATTTCGTTACCGTAGCTCATTTCGTCGATGATGCATTGTTGCAAGACTGACGCGATCTCCAATTTGGTGTAATAACACTCGTCCATGCGGGTGACTGCCCCATGCTGACACCACCGGAAGTAATCATCCCCCACTACATCTACGTAACTGTCGTCTACGCTTGGTATGAAAGATTCTGGGAGGGTAGTTGTAGGAGGAGTAGTAGTAATGCCAATCCAGGGGTATGTCAAAATACTGCATTTGGGAAGGGATACTTTGTGTTGTTTTGGAGGGTGTGAATGCATATTTTGTGTTCACTGATCTGACTTAAGCGGGTGAGGGAAACGTGCTGCTAGAAGAAAGCTAGAAGTACTGTTCTTGCATAGTAGTTAGTCATAGTTGTAGGGAGATGAGGCATTTAAACAAGCAGAACAGTCCTGATCCTTCTGTCGAATCAGCAGCTTTCTGTAGAAACACAGACACGAGCCTTGGCATAAAGTAATAGTCGCTGCTTCCGCACATGAACTTCTGGGCGTTTGGTCCTTGCGGACCCTGACAGCTCAACGGATTGGCCGGATCACCAGGCGGATAGCGGACAAAAAGCGGATCGGTTTCGTCGAGACACTGGCTCTCGCATGTACTAATACAACAATCGCCACCGTCGGAAAATTAGAAAAAGGCTTTGACAATTGATGCAATTGTCGTTTCTGTATCACTGCACTAGTGCTACCCCCATTGGGAGGAGCGCTTTCTGTCGAATACTTTCGAAAATTTAGACGAACGTGGTGCAGAAGATAGACATCACAGGAATCATATGACGACAGAGAGTAGAAGTGGAACTTGAGAAAGCTACGTGTCAACTTGATGCACAGAGGCAATAAGAGCATAAAAGAAACACCTCTCCGAGTCCTGTAGATTTGGTGCGTCGTGGTTGTTCGAACGATCGCAAAAACCATCTGCCATCGCTGAGAAAAGACAATCACGAGTCTGCTGTTCTCTATTCAATGGGTCGTAGAGCCAAAACTTCGCATCTGCAGGTTCCGTCCCACTAGCCCGCTCCATAAGGGCGCAGTAAGGGGTGAGGATTAGAAAAACTAACACTATAAGTGCGTGAGTTGTAACAAGTAAGAGCATGCTCCTGACTAACCACTAGCCCGCTCCTGAGTAAGAGTATGTACCACTAGCCCGCTCCATAAGGGCGCAATGAGGGGTGAGGATTAGAAGAACATGTTTGTTGAAGCTTCTTTGCGGAAGTATTCAGAGATACCAGAAATAGTAAATGCTTGTAGTTCACTTGTCATAAGTAGAGGTCAGTATGGTCGTATAGCTGCAGCACATTTTCAGTCCGGCAATGGGAGGATGCTGCTTGAAACTCATCACATCGCCACGGTTTGCGGCAGTCATGACTCGCTGGTATTGCCGCCAAGACTGAAGGTGATATGAGGTTTGTGGAAAGAAGGAGCAGCAAACTAGTCGTTATTCTGTGGAAGAGTGAAGGCTGTTTGGTTCTGCAAGTCGAGCGTGGAGCTGGATCTCCTAACCTGTCTAGTATTGACATCAACTTCCTCGAAGTAGCAATACTGCCACATGCGGGAGCTGGCCCTGTGCCCAGATTTTCCCATGATGCACTATGGCGTCCTCGACGTGCACATGCACCTTTGGCCTTCGCCAACATCGAAGGTTTTTCACTCTCGTGATGTTCAGCGGCTGATTCACCAGGCCATGAACTGTTCCTCACTAGCTCCTCATGTATCTCTTTGAAGAAGCTCCTCCGTTTGCGTGCTTCTTCTCTACTGTACGGCAGAAATCCGAGGAATTTTCTTCGTTTGCGCGCTTCTTCTCTACTGTGCGGCAGAAATCCGAGGAATTTTCTTCGTTTGCGTACTTCTTCTCTACTGTACGGCAGAAATCCGAGGAATTTTCTTCGCCCGCCGCGATGCTTCGCCACTAACTCAAGTCGTCTGTGTGTCCTAAGAAGAAAACGCGACTTTAATTTTCGTCCGACTAAAAATTGGTGCCTTTGTCTCCTAGCAGACCTTCTTCGCCACCTCACAGGTCGTCGTGCAGTTCTCCATACTACACGATTCCTGGATGTTGCCCATTTCCGATTTTCGCCAAAACCAAAAACCTCCCTGCCTTGGCCTGCTACCGCTTCTCCTGATGATATTCTACCTCGAGCCTCTTTGGGCCTAGGAAGAGTTACAGCACCGCACAGTCTTCCTCTCGCAGTGCAGGGGTCCAACAGTCTCCTCGTTCTGCGCAGAAGGTAAAGTCCTCGACCCCGTCGCCTTCTCCGACCCTTTCGCACAGTAGCATACAGTGAAAGCCTTTTTCGTTCCACGGGCTTCTGCTCCACCACAAGCCTCACTGCACTAGTTTCTTCAGGGCGCCTCCTGATTTTCTCCCGCCTCGTCCACCAGCTTCCGGCACGGCAGTACTTGCCAGAACCATTTCTTTTTGCCACAAGCAAGCCCGACCAAGCACCGGCGCCCGACCAAGCAGAACCGCCGCTCTCAAAGGAGCCCGCCGACATGGTGGCACGCGGAGAGCACCTCGTCTACATCCAAAGACTTACATGAACAGGCCATGGATTTCTATGTTACTACTAAATCTATGTCATTACTATGTGAAGAATGATGTGAAAATTTATGCACAAGCTATGTAGGGCTACTTCAGGACAAAATGAAAATCCAATTACTAGATGAAATAATAGTTGACCACTCCACTTGCAATTGAAGAGGGATTTCTCTCCTTATCTCTCCGTCTCGTCCCTCTGTCCCATTTAACATCACTCCACCTCTCACACAGCACCTGACGCAAGTGTCCCTCAGACATTATCGAGTATCTCTCAATACACCTCCGCTCGTCGCTGGCTGAGATCCTTCTACCTTGATAACATGGAGAGAAACGCGTCTGACCCCTCACCGTGAGGCATTGCGATCAATAGATCGATGTGTTAGTTTTGGGTTTTCCTAAGATTTTTCACACATCTTTCACATACGGGTACATTTACGGCGGATACAGCGTCTCATGGGAAAAAAGATTGACCGTAGATTGACGTACCTCCGTAGAATCAAGGGAGACTACTGCTCTGTTCATTTCTCCATGGTCCATCCTCTAACCCTAGTAAGAAATCATGATCACAACAACCAGATCACTTCTCCTCGATTTTCTCCTCTTGATATATTCTTCTTCTTGTGTTGAAGTTGATGATCTTCATGTGTGTGGAGTTCTGCGACATCTTGGTCTTCTCGACCCTGAAGACGTATTGACATTCCTTTACCTCGCTACATCAAATTATACTCACAATCCAAAATGGCAAAACTAGCGAGTCCAACTACCTTGTTCTTTTTTCATCCAGCTTCTGTCTTTTTTGAATGGCATCTCTGCTTCTAGTGCTAGAGAGTCTCGAATGATTCATTAATGTTACTACGACCTTCTACATACAATACGATCTCAATCAGAACGACAACTGTCTTTATGTTTAAATTTTTCGAACATCAATGTCAATCCTCCAACTACCTCTAATACAAGTTACTTACACGATAATTATAAGTTACATAATGACCCCCGTCTACCTACAGTCATCACCATCGGGTCACTACTGAGTCCACAACTCCACACTCTGAGCCTTATCTGAGCGCCGCACCCAGAATGGCCGCGCCTGCGACTGCGCCGAGGGCGCAACCGACGGCCGCACCTGCTACGGCGTCATCGTGGCGGCGGTAAGATCGGTGATGATGAACCGTGTGGTACGCCGGACGAGCACAGACCACATGGGTTCTCGGTTGGTGGTAAACAACTTGCGGTGCACAAGGGCGCTGGTAGACGACCTGAGTCGGCGCAGGACGCTGATACACCACCTGTGGCGCCGGTTGCTGCACAATAACCTGCGGAGCCGGTTGTTGATACACGACCTGTGGCGCCGGTTGCTGGTACACAACCGTGTTGCACGGAGCTGGGTAGTAGCCGTACATCTTGCCTTTTTCGAGAGAGTGCCTGTAACTAAATAGTAGTAGTAGAAAATTTGATCAGAAGATTGACTCTGTACGTAGTAGATGTCTCCTACTATCTACCTTAAGTCTCAAACGTAGGCGACACTCGAATCACGCCAAAAAAACTTTTTAAACACAAAACAATGTCCTTCGAGAATTAGTCTAGTCGTATCGCTTCGTAGTAAAAATGAATCAATCTCACTATCTTCTATGTATGATCACGCCAAAAAAAAACAATCAAGCCAAAAAAACAATTGATGTTGCTGGGCTGTTATAGCGTATTTGAGGCAACATCATGGACATAGAAGAAGGTCGCCTTCTTGCGTTGCTGAAAAAAGCCGGCTTCAGAACTTATTTCGAAGCTGCTGATTTCCAGGTTCATTTCCGTACTCCTGAATTTGCAAGATCCAGTAGTATTGATCTTGAATGTTGGGATCCAAAGCGCACTCAAGATCGCGTGATTTTGTAGAAGGGGATCCAAAGTTATGCCGACAATCTTGTAGAAGAGGATCTGTTTCTTGCGAAATTATCTTCGCCGCGTCGCTGCGTATTATTCTTTCATTATCACTTCTTTTGAGGAGTAGAAAATCATTATGTTAAATATCATCATGATGTGTAGCGTCCTCAGATGGTAGCCCTACAGTGTTAGTAGAGGACAAAAAAATCATTGTACACTAGGGAAGGGATATGGGGAGAGAGGAGACACCTTCATGGTAGATTTTCACCTATAGGCTCATTTCACATGGGAGACGGTATCTCCCGCAGCCATGTTGGGGTAGCTCCTGCTGTAAAAAATCTTGATCTTTAATATAGGCGATAAATATCAACATGGTTAAGAGCTAGCGGTTTTTTATAGGAAGCCGAGGATCCAAATGTGCGAGCATGGTTTACTCAAGGTACAAGTACGTGAGCTGAGAGTTGTATAAAGTCAGTGTCCAAATTTTCCATGTTCAAAGTAAACCTCAACTTCTAGTACCACAAACTCAACAACTAGTACCCAAAAGTAGAGCTCAACAACTAACCAAAATTCTCTTCATGAAGAGCAGCCACTCCCAATCTTCTTGAAGGGACAACCACTCCCGATTTTTATATATATGCCATATGAAGATTCATGAAGTAGATCTTCTATATCTTATACATGTTGCATATGATATGAAGTAGATGTTCTATATCTTAGCCGCGAAGGCGGCATCGCCTGCTGTGACGCCGTCGCCAATCACAGTGATCTCAGATGCTTGCGGCTTCCCCTTCTGGTTAAGCTGGATTGTGAACTGGACCTCCTTGCCGACCATATGGGTCTCGTTCATCTCGCGTCGATGCAAAAATTAGAAGAGAGGAGGATATGAGGATTGTGTTGAGCGGTTTCGGACAATTGAGATCTGATGTAGAGTTTAAAAGTTGTCCCGACGGATTGAGAAAAGACTTATATGGCAAACTGAGCAGAAGAACCATGACTATTTGAATCACAACGTGAGTCCTAGTAGTCAGCAGTGCATTATTATTATATGTGGAGGGTCCTCGTCAGCAGTGCATTGAACGTCCTCGTAGTCTAAGAGGTTCATCTTTACGACAATCATCTTCATCTTTACGACAATCATCTCCAACACCATAAATGAAAACATCGCATCCGAAGTGCGCTTCAATCTCGGGACACTGGATGAAACCGAATCCTTTTTGCTCGTTGTAGCTTTTGATAATGCCCAGATGCGGTCCAGGTCCGATCATCTCGAGTTTGCTCTCACCTTCTTCTCGCATCGCACCGGTTTTACCTAAAAATTTTAGGTGCAGGCGTGGGAAGTGTGGTGGTAAGGATGCTTCTACTTGGCATGGAAATTCATTCTGAGGCACCTTCGATGGGAAGTAGGATAGGATAGTATCATGTACTACTGTGAATCCAGGTACTAACCCAAATGTAGAACATGAATAAAGCACAGGTCATTACAGTATTTCAAGATAAAACACAAAGTACTACTACACGACGAGCCTTTGAGATTTACTAGCAAGGAACACGAATAAAAGAACAATAGGCACGATACTAGCAAGGAAACGAAAAAAATTTATAGGATACCGATAACATCTGCTTGCGGCATATTTTTCTCGATTCTGAGTTTGAAGGTGACTTGATCTCCGATGTTGAGTCCGTGTGCGTCGACCTCTTTTTTATTAGAGCTAAGGATGAGGTAGATTTTGTCATGCTGATTTTGTGATGAGTCAACATGTTGCAGTCTCTTCTAGTATGATAGTTGTTGCCTTAAGTTTGGATATCCACGTATCCTTCGCGTAAAAGCTTTTTACTTCCTCGTTTTCTATGAACCCAAAGCCCTTGTCCGCGAAGTACTTGGACAGCACACCTTGATACTCTTTCAGTAGGTTCAGTCCTGCTCCTGCTTGGCCGCCCATGTGTGCGCCCATATGCGCGGCCGCGCCGCCTTTCATTCCTGGCGCTCCCTTCATTGGTTTGCCGCCTTTCGCCATGCGCACTTGGCCGTAAGGTCCTGGTTGGAGGAGTAAGGTATTAGAGGTCGCGCGATTACATTCTGCAGATCATCCTTGGCGCCTTCCTTAGAAGTGGGGAACTACGAGTCAGGGATGTTAGTGCAGAATGCAATTTGACAATAAGCCTTAGCAGTAGGAGCTGTCTGATACACGGCTGGCTGGTAGAGCGCCTGTGGTGAGGCGGCAGCCGCGTAGACTAGCTGCTGTGGAGGAGCCGGCGCTGCAGCGTAGACGACTTGCTGTGCTGGACCTGCTTGGTAGCTCACCTGGGGTGTCGCTGGTGCTGGTTGATATGCCTGTTGCTGTTGCTGCTGGTCTACATCTGCAGCCTTGATCAGTCCGCGTGCCTGTGGCTTTCCTTGCTCCGTCATCACGCAGTCGAAGTAGACGAAGTCCCCAACTCGAAAATTTATGGCCTGCGTGTAGTGCAGAAAAACGTCTGCCTGCCCAAACTTGTTGGCCGCATGCTCAGACTGCACAAAACCGTACCCTTTTTCTTGGGCAGTATGAAAGAGGGTGGTGGTGGTAGATAGATAGAAGGTTGCATGTGGGATTCTTGTTGTGTGAGTGTACAAGGTTGTTCACAAGGTTCTTGTATGTCAAATGCTAGTTTTTTTTTGCCTACTTGTCTACAAGTCCACCAACATTGTCATTCATTCATTTACCTATTCGCGAGGTATTGTTTGGTGTTTGGGGGGACACCTTGTTATGGGTGTGCTCTGTTCCTTCGGTGAGATGCGCAACACGACTTTAAAAGTCACTAGGGAGAGGGACTACAACACATGGAAATTTTCTAACATAATTGAATGTCCGAATCTGACCGAACATCTTTGCTTCGCCAATGGGTCTTTGGGGCTTAGGCGGCCCAATGACAGCGTATGCCGGAGACGGCTGGACCTGTGCCGGAGGACTCGGGGCACCACCTGGACAAGAAGGAGATGACGATCTTCTACTGTGATCGTCAAGAACGTCTTGAGGATCTCTTCGGGAGAGATCTGCAAGAACGTCTTGAAGATCCTCTACTGTATCCTAATCTTCATTTATAAACGCCTAATTATAACTAATACTGGAGTTATCCACAAAAACTACAATAACTAATAGGAAATTATAACCAATACTCCACAAAAACTACAATAATCAATACCAGCTCTCGTGACATTGACCGCCCTGGGTTGTCCTCGATCGGACAGTGTGACTTGGAATCGGACCGTATTGCCGACATCGGCTCCCGCAGATTCGAATTCGACACGGTGTAAAAAGATGTCCCTCTGATACACTTCCAAGGTGTCCTTGCACTCAATAAATCCATAGCCGTTGCCTAAGTAAATCAGGAATAACAATTGTGCATACAACTAGTAGGCAAGAAATTCGAATTGATTTCTCTAGACATATTCAGGATCTCGATCGACAATCTGCTGGTGTTTTTTTCGTATTCATGCGAGTAGCTTCTATACCTCCAATTTACAGGATGAGAATATGTTGCTCTGCTTTTCTTGTTGCAGAATGACCTTGCGTCACCGACATGATGAAGACCCGGTTTGCTGCACTCATTCTCAGCTGTCTTCGCAGAAGATTCATATTCAGAAAATTACAATCCCGGAAAAAACTAGAGCCTTGAAGTCGAAACTTAGAAAACTCAAAATCAAAGCAAATCACATCCAAGATCACAATATACTAAACAAAACTTAAACTCATAATACCTGAACCTGGATGTAGATGTTGAAGTAATGCATCTTCAAAGTCGAAATTCGCAAAGAACTAATAACTTGCGCAATAAAAGAAAGACACAAGTAGAACAAGGTAGAAGATCCGTAAAATCTGAAGCCACATTGGAAGGAAGCAAAAAATACCGGCGTTGTAGGATTTGATAATCCCCAAATAAATTTTCGCATTCATCTTGCTGGAGGGAAATCGTCAAAAAAACCGGAAAATCGTCAAAAACCGGAAAATCGACGGGTTAATCTTTACAAGTCCACGCTGGCGTCCAAAAATTGTTGTTGGTCTAACGTCCAAAATAAGCGTTCTCCAAAAAGACGCGCACCACAAGTGACAGTTCTTGTAGAACTGTCCCGGATAAAGAAAAGTTTCTCCGGATGTAGTAGCACCAGAAAATCTTCTTCGAGTTAGTTTTGAAATCACACCAGATGATGTACGAAACTAGCAAGAAAAGAGTGTGGAACTCATTCCTATGACAAATAACTCAGAATGGTAAGTCGTGTACTTATTTTGTGATCGGAAATATTACAGAGACGAAGGATACTGATATCTGTATGGAAAAAGCGACACACACCAAAAAAGAAGAAAAGATGAAAGAATGGCAAAACAGAAGATGATCCAAAAAATTGCTTCGAAAAAGCTAAAGTTCAAAAACCCGAGCAGGCAAAAAAGATGAAAATCACAAACTGGCCTCAATCGAAAAACGAAGTCCTGATAGCGGCTGATTGAATCATAAATCAAAAACAGGTAGACTACTCGGAAAAAAAACAGTCCTTGCGGTCAATCGAACATTGTTTCTATCGTGATCCAAACAAAAATTCAACGCAGGAAAAAACGGGCCGACAAGTAACACAAAATTCACCCGCAGAAAAAAGAACAAAGAAAATGCACGTCTCAAAAACAAAATCAATTGTTATTCAACTCACGGAAAAACAAGATCCTTCCAGATCACATTTTTTCTTCGCATTTGCCGTCTTTTTGCCTTCTGAATTGTCAAGGGGATGTTCATTCCTTGTTCTACATGTTGCTAGCCCTGCTGTTGTTCTATTTGCATCACACATTCCAGCGAAATCACACACAAGATCATTGGTTACTGGTCAAAACACACACACACAGTTGGAGGATGAGTTCGAGATTCGACGTGTAGTTTGGTATCATGTGTGCCTCTGACGACATCAGATTGAGCGTATTTTTAGAGTGCGCTTTAGGCGAACGGATAGGTCAAAAGAAAGAAATCAGACTTCTCAGTACAGCAAAATCTTCTGCACTTAACATCACTGGGTCTTTTTCTCATGTAGTTCGTTGGCAATTCATAAAAGCTTGCTTGGTTCCAAAAGCAGGAAATAGTTTTTTAGTTCCTTGCTTGTGCTCAAGTTACATTTTCCAAAAAGAGTGACAGATTTCGTATTCAACTATGACTCGTAAGAGGCAGAAGGCAGCAGACGACCTGCGCAAGGCAACAACGAACAAATATGCTCGTAAATTTCGAGGAAAAAAGAAACAAAACTATTCCCTCACATAAGTCATATAATCGACTGAGATTACTTTATCCCGTGCTATGATATCTCGAAAGCCCACTCTTCTTTTTCGGTTTCGCTTTCGGCAGAGGCGCTTCCGACTGGTGCGCTACCAGTGGACGAGACTGTGTTGCTGGGGCTGCAGTCGCATCTTCACGGGGAAGGGGCAGTCGCTTTACGCTATTATTAGGGGTTCAAAATATCCCAAATTTTATCGTCCTTCGTTATCAACGAGTGAATAAGACTTGAACTTCATGTCCTGCACAGTGAGTGACTCAAAGATGTACTACACAGGTACACTTTCACAAAGGTATCAATGAATTGGGGTTACTGCTACCCAACAACTAGCCTTATCTGTAGCCGGAATCGGTCCCAGTGAAATCTGCAGAGTACGCTTCCCGGTCTCCTTGTCGGACACGAAGCGGGTGTCGAAAAATTTCAAATTGTCTTTGTCCATGTGACATTTGTTGGGGTCCACATCGCTCTCCAAATCATGCTCATTTTTCAGATTCCACGTATATGACCCATCCAACAAGCGAAATTTACGGTTGTGCGCTGGACACCGCACTCGGATAGTCTTCTTCGGCTCGTGTTTTGGTTCCGATTGCAGTTGGACTGGAGGTGAGATAGCTTGTGGTAGAACATCTTCTGTATTTTGCTGTGGTGGAAGTTCTGATGTTGTAGGATCTTGCTGTTCCGCCTGCGCTTCATCTTGGCGCTGCTTGTTTTCCTTCATCGTCGCAGCTGGCTCTACTACGCTACTTTCCGCTGGTCCGGAACTTGTAAAAGGATCTCCTTCATAGCCACCTATTAAGGGCAAACCAGCGTAGCCTGTGGTATACCCAACCTCTGATTGTACTCCAGTTCTCTGATTGTACTCCGACGACGTTGTCGTGGATTCCTCTTGCTCACTTCCTCCAAATGGGCCAAACATCGACCCATTATCGTTGAGCCTTTCTGGTTTATGGTAGTCGCCAAAGTTAGCGCTCCTCAACAGCCGAATTTTGGGCTCAGAGTCCCAGAATCCAAGAACGAAACTGAGCCAAATCAGCTGTGAAGATGAAATATCTTGAGCCTTAACGAGGTCTCTCTCTTCCGGGACTGCGAACAGCTTGTTCGAAGCAGCCGCCGTACCAGTGGAACAGGGACCACTGGAAGCAACGGAGGCACCGGACTCCTGCCGCGCCAGAACGAGAGCTTTCGGAGCGAGAGGGGAATGCCCCTTGTAGTTGCTCTCTGTGCTACTCTTCGCCCCGTCCGCTCGGTCCAAGGATCGAGCAACCACCTCTTTGCCATCCTTGGGCGTAAACACGGAACGCGAACATTGCTCCACTAAAGACAACTGCTGCTGTGCTGGCGGTAGGCCTAGACCTATTTCTGGTGGACTGCCGATGGCTGCGGTGGTCCCCTTTGATTAGAAAATGTAGAGGTAGAGGATGTGCTCATATGCAGAAGTGAACCTATTGATATGAACGCAATCGGCGGCAGCAGGAAGATTGCAAGTAGCCGTTTTGTACGGTAAAAATTCTCCATAAAACCCGCCATCCTGCGACGTCTGTGCATCGTCTCTACTACCACCGCCTCCTCGTCCTCCTTCACCGCAATTATACGCACTTTCCCTGCGGCTCGACACACCCGATGCTCCACCTCCACTGCTGCCTCCTAAGTTAGATGGGGTACCTTCGTGTTCTATCGAGTTGTCTCTTTTTAGTCAGCTGTGGTATCCAATTATATAATGTGCGATACATATGAATGAATGTGCCCAGTCGACGTCGTGGGTTACGATTTTGAGGATGTCATGTCATGTGTGCATCTCCTCAAATGGTCCTTCTTGATCACTATCGAGAGAAAACCGTGTACTTACAATACCAATCGCCTTAACACTTGCATGCACACTTTTCCGCAAATTTTCTCCAACTTCTGCACTACGCTCTCTGCGCTTTGCCTTTACCTCAGTCCTGGACATCGTGTGGGAGACTGAGGGGTCTGCTGCGGTGTAACTTCTACGACTCGGCAAGGGCATACCCGGTCCCGGAGGTGCGGGAACCGTTGCTAAGACTGCGAGGGTGGGGATTAGACGGGATAGTTACTTACACTGTGTAAGCCGAAACTAACGAGGAGTGGAGTGGAGATTGGAGGACCCCTGGCTCAAAGACATTATCACAAGTCATGTAGCAAAAAGAGGAAGAATGATGCCTCTGGCAAAATTCTGCCTGCTCCACGTACACTTGAGAGAATTTTCCTCAGGTCTACCAACTCCTTCTAGCACAAAATCTAATTCCAAACAAGCTCATAACTGTGGCTGCGATGGTGCGCTTCCTGGTGTCGGCAAATCCTTGCATTCCAAGTAAGGCACTCTTTCTGTGATGAGATTGTGCGAGTTCCGATGCGGAGGTGGAGTCTGCTTATTGCTGAAGAGCGACGACGAGGAACGCTGTCGACGTGATCCTGACCGCTCGTTTGCTGGATCCGATTAGGGGCTACAATAACAGTTTTCTTGTACATCCCGGTCTTGATAATTTTTAAATCTAAAGAATTATTGTTGCACGGAACAATAAGCGTAGATTGAAAAATACCTCACCAAACAAACAAGGCTTACCAAACTCAGCGGGATAAGCCTAGAAGTTGGAGCAAATCTCTCTAGTCACCTCACTCATTTTTTTTTGGATTTGCCATAATCTAATGCATCATCGCAAGCAATCACATCAGGGATTTCTTCTTCGTCATTATCGTCTTCATCTTGCGCTTCCGGACCAAGTAACATGCAGGCGTGATCTGAAAAGTCATCAATAACTCTAACCGGTGTTACTTTCAGCCTCGTCGCTCCGAAGTTTTGGGAATAAGGGCTTTCCCCCGGTGGTGGCCTGGCAGCAGACGACCCTACTGATCCACGCCGTGTCTCGTTTCTCTCTGTGATGTTCAAATCTAGATGCTGGTGTGCGCCAGAAGAAGACGAAGAAGTAGCGCTTCCTCCTGGTGGAATGTTGGCAATATCTCCCATACTGCCGCTACGAGGTTTCGCACCATGATCCAAGGATGAAAGGCCTACGTCCCATGCTGCTGCAGCGTCCGTCCTGTGATCCTGCCCCGCTGATGCAGCTCCTTTCTCTACAACTCCTGCTGTACTAGTTCTCTTGTTTTTGTCTCCAACATCTTCAGCTCCATCATCTTCGCCCTCATCTTCTTTCTCTGAGTAAGCATCTTCGGTTCGAGGCGTTGCGAGGATGAGGGGTGACCTACTGGCCACCGACGAATCTAGCGAATCAGCATCTTGAGCTGGGGTCACGCCTTGTCCGGTTGCAGTACTGCTGCCCGACCCAGATGAATTCACTGCACTTCTGGCTGAAGCTCCTGCTGGAAGATTGATAGATGGATCGCTAGGATCATGAATATTACCCGAAGTGGACGTAGATCCGCCTGTCGGCCCGTCCAATAGTTCGCCACCCTGCTCATGCCTCATCATGTTCTTGTACCACTCAGCATTTGCATCGTCATCGAGAGAGTCATTAGCGGCTGCAAGACAAGGCAGTGCCACTATCATGTAGGCGTAAGGTATCCTCACAACCAAGGAAGTGATACAGGTACATCCGCAAATGAGGAAGCAGTAACCTAAGCGCTAGAGACACTGAAACGCACCGCAAATAAGTAAGTTGTGTTCCTCTGGAAAAAAGAAGATAAAAGGAGAGCTTAAACAAAAAGTAAGCACCAAAAGCTTGATCCGATCATTATCTGGACGAAAGTAGCTAGGAGTATAACATAGGTGGCTCGGCTAGGTTGTGGGAACATAACGTTGTGTCTCGTGAGAGGTCTTTTTCTCTTCTGTTTATCAACTGGCGCACTCGCCGCCGACGCACCCCCACCTGCCGGCGCACCCCCACCTGCTGGCGCACCCCCACCTGCCGGCGCACCTCCACCTGCTGGCGCACCCCCACCTGCTGGCGCACCTCCACCTGCTGGCGCACCTCCACCTGCTGGCGCACCTCCACTTGCCACCGAAGGATCTTGCTTAGAGGTCTCAATGCCGATTTAGCAGTTGTCATGTACGAGCTCTTGTACGCATCCTCACGGGAAACAAACTGAGAGAAGATTCCTCATGAATGTAATCCCGAAGGGAAACACTTACACTGAGAAGGTTCATCCAGTATTGCAAAAACAGATTGCTTCTTTTTATAAAGCCTTAAGTTGCGCTGGTGGTTGTCCTTCTGCCACTGCTACAGAGGAAGACGAAGCAGACGAGGATGATGAAGCAGACGATGACGAAGCAGAGGAAGACGAAGCAGACGATGACGAAGCAGACGAGGACGATGCAGACGAGGACGATGCAGAGGATGATGAAGCTTGGTCAGCGGCAATAGCATTGCCGCTCGTCGTTTGGGCTAGCGGAGCCGCGATATTAGAGAGAGTTGATAATGGGCGTGTGAATGTAAAAACTGAGCTTTCCTTATGACGCTTAAATACTGCTAAAAACAAGTAGTGGTGAGACAAATCCAAATTCGTTAAAAATACAGGTGTGTTTGCTTAGACTTACCATCTTCTAACTATGTGTATCTAGTAAGTAGTAATACTAATAATAACTTATGTGTAAGTAGTAATAATTGCTTATGCTTATGATCCACCTTCACCTTCTTTGATCCGTAATTCTGAAATATGGTTGCCCAAGCTCCAGCAAAGGTCGTTTCGGACATGGCTGCAAGTCCTCCATGTCCAAGAGCTCTCCGGCTGATAGTTTTGCCCCATTGTGGGGACACGCGTCCTTGAAAACTCGAAGGTCCTCTCCCCACTTTACAACTACTACCTTTTAGAACATTTACTTTTGTAGGAAACGGGGACGGTTGTTCTACGACTACTAATACTACCTTTTAGAAGATTGATGTAGGAAACGGGGACGGTGATTTTACGACTACTGTACCTTTTAGGAGATTCATCTGGCGATGTGGGTGGTGGCGTCGATGACAGGGGTGAGAGTGATGAGGATGAGGGCATGACGATAGTGACAACGACAACGGCGATGACAATAGTGAGGACAATGCTACTTAGGCCAGCCTCTGAAGTGCTACACGAGAGTCAATGGATACTCTGACTACAAGATTTCGAGTGAGTAGTCTTGTACCTTAGCACCGCCGCGGCTTGGATTCGCAACGAAGCCTGTCTTGACATCTACATTTGGTAGCTCCACGACAACGGCAATTTAGAGGAAAACTATTATTTTGTCGCGGAAGTTGAAGTTTGCACTTTCCTCAAATATCAGGAAGTGCAAGCGTGCGACCTTGCGTTCATGACGAATAGTAAAATGGCGTTTGTCCTTACTTGTATTCCCCCAATGGTGGTTCAATTATGAGCTGCCATGAAGAATTCAATAGGTCTTGTTCTTAATTGTATTCCCCCAATTTTGGCTCATCATCAAAAACCGGGTTCTCTTTGAAGGGGGTTTCCTTCTGTTGAAACGCCTTGATCCATTTCTGTCGGGTGCCATCCTTGGTGCGCCAGTTGTGGATTTGGGCATCAATGCTCTCATTCGATGCTACAGATGCGGCGGACAAGTTCCGAGACAAGGTTCGGACAACTGAGCGAACTGAGTGGAGGAGGAAGGGGGAGGGGCATGTTCAATGTAACTAAAAATGTTGTTCCGAGACAAATTACTAATTTCGTTGGAGATGACTTTGAACTAGGGGTATGGAAAATTCAAGTGAACATCTTTAATGGAGTTCATACGTTTATATTTGGCCCCATGATAAAGCTTTTCAGGCAACGTGGGATCGCTACTCTGTTCGACCTTCTTACAAAGTCGAATCACCTCCGCGTTCCATTCCTTCGCGTCAGGGATATCGCTCTCGGCGAGACCGGTCGAAAACCTTCTAGTGCTAGTTGTAACTACACTTAGTTGTAACTACTAGATGTGGAGGATGATAGCGTGAATAGCAATGGTCACTGTGCTTCTTCTCCTTCTTCTTGATCACAAACACAAGCGCTTGAAAAAAAAAATGAGCGGAAAAGCGTCAACTTCCAAAGGAATGTATTACCACATCTGCCCATCGTCCTCCACGATTGTCTCGGCCACATCGACAACCGCCGTCATTTTCGGCGGCCGAAGAATGTAGAGAATAGAAATCAAAACTTCATCATTCTTCGTTCTTCTCTATTAATAGAGGCTTAGTCTCGAGAATACAACATACAAATCAAAAATTGCAAATCGATGGAGTTATGAAAATTAATAAGTACTCGTCCATTTTTAATATCATAGCACTGTTGTAGCTTCCACAGCGTTCATGCGGCGCACCGCAGCTAGGGGACATCGTCTGCTTGCTTTCAGCCGAGAAAGAAAAATGATGGAGCACTTACCGAAGCTGATGAAAACTAGATATTCATGGTGCTATATTAATCCATGATACGTACAACTGGTGCTTATCCAAATGGTGCTTATACGACTTTTCTGAGTCTTAAGCTACAGCTTCCCATTCGATATACACAAGTAGAGAAGATTCCACCTCTATGCACATGCTTTCAAAAGTGGTCATGAGGATAAATTTGGATTGATCCTTGCATTTTTTTCTTTGGAAAAAGCAGTCCTCAAAACCCATTTCCAAGGCAACACTGAAAACACATTTGAGCAGGGTTCCTGGTATCCTAAGATAATTCATCTGCTTTTCTCTTAATACGAGAACACCCGATTCACTGATATCGTCTTGTCGACAGTAGACCGCTGCCTAGTGACAGGTGCGAACGATGACACTTTGTTCTTCACCAGAGACACATTGTAGACAAGACCGTCTATTGCTGTTATATTCTCATGCAGGGATTTCTTCATGCTGTAGCTGCCTGTTGAAAATGATTGAATGTGCAAGTTTGCAACAGAAATTTTAGTGCTGCTCACTGTTGCGCCGCCCAGTATGCTTCAAGAAACCGCTGGCTTTCTATGTACAGTACAAGCAAATCTCAAACAAAAATACTACTGTGCAGTGAATACTTTCTCAAATACAGGTAGCACTCATCCCAACAATCTGATGCAAGCCAGAAAAAGAGGCCCTTTTCTTTGACCAAAAGTTTCTTGTTCCAGACTGCAATTGCTCCTTTTCTTACTGTACAGAGACGTTCTCAATCGTTGATACTAAATATCCGGTATGAACGGAGAATTTAACTGAGTGAAGGATACGGAGTGCGAAAAAATACAGAGGAGTTCTGAAACAAATTCCACATTTTGCTTAATGTTGCATCTGCACTTGGTGCCAAAAATCTTCTTGAGTTAATGTGATTGAAACTCGCTGGTGTGATTGAAGCTGCATGAGCTGGAGGAAAAGGCGAACTTCTGCACTTGGTGGCATGTGTTCAACCCTTTCCTCCCTCTATCAACCCTTTCCTCCCTCTATGATGATATAGCAATTGTAATGACTAATCATGAAGCAACATCAAGTCTCTAGATGCTTCCACAACTGCTTAAATATTAGAATGGTATACAACACCGCGATCCACTAGCTTGAGCATAGAGGATCGTCTACTACTAACTACTGCGTGAAACTCGCTATTGCTGTGCGCTATTGCTTGCGCTGTCGACCAAGGATGCCCATGCTATTGCTTTTATCGTACTTCTGCATCTCGACCAATAGCGTGGATGCAATCAACAGCGCCCGGTCGTTCGATGCTGACGAATGGAAGAATGGCTGATGGAACAACAAAAAAAAAGGTCTTCTTCTTCTAAAAAATTCACCTACTACTTGTTAATTGAAAGTATAGTTTGCGCACGAATGTGATCGCAACACGCAACATACCTTTTCTAAGGTAAACACCAAAAGCCAAACCATGGAGTGAGTGTTCAAAACTACTCTGCTTCTATGATAGTACTGGAATTGTCAGGATGGTCGATGCTGTAAGTCTGCGAATCCAAGACTTCGTCCATTACAGCTTGGACGATCGACGTCATTAGATGAAGGGCATAGCTATTGCATGGCGAGTGCGAGATATTATTACATCAGTCAATCAACCACTCAATCAGTCAGTCAATCAATCAAGTGCTCGCTTTAAGATCTGCGCTGATTTGTTTTTGCGAGTGGGCAAACTCCACAGAGTAGTCCATTTCAAAGCTGATTTTTTACAACGAAAAAAAAATGCGGAATACAGCAGAAATTCGAAAGGCTGAAGATAAGGTGTGGCTGTGCTAAGTAACCGTCAACAGACGAACAATCAATTCCAAGAAATTCTAACACAATAACACAACACCACAACACATTTATAACACAGCAACAACACAGGACTTGGCGCGCAGCTGTGCCAGCTAGGGATGGCTACGGGCCTCGCCATGCTGCAAGGGATGGCTACGGGCCTCGCAATGCTGCAATCGTGACCCCGTTGGCAGCATCCGCCCAGCCGGCAACCTACCAGACGCCCACAGCCAGCCTATCTATTTAACCTAGCTACGTAAATACCTAGTTTACCTCCTTAAAAATTCAAAAACCTGAAATTGTATCCTTTCAACCATTATCCGTTTTATGCTGGCCATAATAAATTCCAAGAATTTCTAACACAACAACACATGACGAGTCGCCACAGCCACGTCAGAAGCCTTCCTTTTTCACAACTACTTCACAATCTCTAAGACCACCCACGCCATAAGCCTTCCTCCTTCACCATTTCGCCTACACGGTAGCCGCTAGAGGCTTCATAGATTTCATGAGTGACCTCACGCATATCACAGCAATTACCTGCTTGGAAGAATGAGCCTTCCAAAGTGTACCGCAGCTCCTCGTTCTCATCGTATATCGAATGCGAGACTCCATCTTCATGAAGGAGGACACTGGGAGACCCAGAGAAATTAAATACTGCAAATGTATGATGTAAAAGAAGGTGTCCGAAATAGAAGATACTGTAAGATGAAAATAAGCCGTCGAAGGAAAGACTTTTTTATGTTTTAGATGATTGTGTTCTTTCGTAGTTGCGCAGCCATAACAGCAACGGTTGTGGTCTTGAACGTATCCCAGATACTGAGGGCCCCCTACGACCACTGGACCCGTAGACACGTGCATTTGCGGCATGCACAGCGTTGCACAGCAGGGACACAGCCCACACGAGTTCAGCGTCAAAGGAATTGTATGAAGCGGAAGTGAGGTGGCAAATCGAACAAGTCGTAAAAATTATGTTATTGGGTCGTGTTTAAATCCGGTACCAAGATTGTCTTTCACTCGCAAACTTTTGTACGGTTGAAGGTGAAATGCTTGTTCTTGACAACAACATGCTTCTATTTTGAAGTCGTATTTAGTTAGTAGAACTAGAAGAAGGGATTAACTAACAGCACTAAGGGCTGCTTCGTCGTTACTCCTCCCTCCGCACAAGAACATGCTTGTATCTAGAATCCGTTACCATAAACGCACTGAAAGCAAGGACAGCAACACTCAAACCACTCACAGGCGAACTCCTTCTCCAGCTGCAACACGGCTTCGGACTCTGGGGGGGCTGTGTGGTTAGGATCCTCGAGATCGGAATAAACTGAAAGTGGGTCGTCTAGCACTTTGTTGTTCTTCGAAGTTATTTTTTGCGACTGCTTCATCTACTCTGCAGCTTTATTTGATGGCATCGGGGTTATTCCTTGCAACGTAGTTCTTTGCTACTGGTGACGATTGGACCTACGACTTCCCTGAGTCTCTTCTGAGTTACTACTTGCTGCTACTAAGTCTAGAAAGGTCCGCCTCATAAATCTCCATCCGACGCGGTGCCCTCCGCATTTTCTGGGTCCATGCCGCTCAGGTTCACTACGTGAACGTTCAAGAATGCTGCGCGCTGACCACGGCAAAAATATTTTTGACAACACGAGACGTCTTCGTATATGCGCCTGTTGGATGGGACGAGGAGGAGTTAGTTGTTGTCGTGAGAAGGAGATGCGCTTGTCTATCCAAGTACTGGTCAGTTGTCTACACGATCACAAGCATCGATAAGTGATCCTGTAGACAACTGAGTCGAGTGTGTGTCACTGCACTAATGCTACCCCCATCGGGAGGAGCGCTTTCTGTCGACTTTAATTGAGAAAGCTACGTGTTAACCTGATGCACAGACCCTCACAATATCATGGACAATAGAAGAAGGATTTTGTAGAAGGGGATCCAAAGTTATGCCGACAATCTTGTAGAAGAGGAATCCAAGTACTGGTCAGTTGTCTACACGATCACAACCATCAATAAGATCTGCAAAAACGCTTTAGTAGTTCTTCCAGCCAACGAGATATAGTTTAGAAGTACATTTCTTTCCCCGACATGCCTTCATCAAAAAGTACATTTCTTTTCCCAACATGCCTGCCTTTTGTTCTTGAGTCTTTACTTTTCCCATAATACTCTGCACCTCTTCCTGGCTAAACACTCCGTCTTTGTTCGCCTTCAACCCTGCTATGATATGAAGAAAGGCGAGACGGAGAAAAAGAGAGAATGGACCAACTACATGTAGCACAGCCACAGCTTATCTTCAGCCTTTCGCTTTTCTGCTGTATTCCGCATTTTTTTTTTCGTTGTAAAAACTCAGCTTTGAAATGTAGTCGGTCCACTTAATATACCATTCACGTTTAGACGTAGCAGCTAGCGGCCTTTCCTCTACTTCCAATGTTTGAATGCCATAAAGCATCGCTTTCCTCTGTCTCGCTTCTTCTCGCGCCGTTTTGTTCTCGAGTCGATAACGATTGGGTACCACACACGAGTATGAAAATTGTAATGCGTGTCAGTGAATAAATGCTTGAATGAATGCACCCACTCCACGGGTTTAGAAGACCATTACACTACTACTTCCGTCTGCAACGTGTCTCATCAAAAGTTTAACTAACAACGCATGTGTATGAAAATTATAACGCGTGTGCAAGGTTAAGTTTTTGAAGTTGCGCGACGTTCATTCACTCATTCGGACCACGTAGCAGCTACAAGTAACTGCCTGGCTCCGTTGTGACCCGAATAGAGACCATAAAAACTTACACGAGATCACGTCAAAGCAATCCGCAGCTTGCGCCACTTGCGTCAGCTTCATCACTGTTTAGACGAAATTGTGCCAACGCCCAACACTTGCGCACAAGATTCTCTACACTTGACAAATCATTCTGCCCAACACTTGTGCACAAGATTTTTTAGATAAGATGATCACATACATTACCTCAGACAAAGAAACAAGTTAGGTGATCTATACATCACCTAAATTAGAGGCACTACACCTGAGACAAAGAAAGAACTCAATGAGTGAAAATTATAATCATGAAAAAAAATACTTACTACCCGCATACATGGTGGGAAAGTCTGGAAGTAATTGCACCAGGAGAACTACTACAGATAGTGCTTCATCTGGTACTGGTAGTGCTTCACCTTATATCATAGTTATCATAGAAAGGTAGTACTTAGTTCATCTCCATAGTGATGATAGTTAGCACTGATCATAATGCTTCTCAAATTCCAGCATGACTTGTTGCGTTGGTGGACCTAGAAGCTGGCCAGGCGTCGTCGTGGCTGCTGCTACGGACGCAGCGGCGCCGTATCCTCCGGCGTTTGTTGTAGCCGACATCTTTCTTTCTAACTAACAACAGATCTTCGACAAACTAACAACAGATCTGCGACAAAGATGAGATCTCCTAGCAAGAACAATCCAATGTTGCTACGGCTTTAACCGAGTGAAAGGACACGATACAACGGAAACGAACGAGTCACCTGCTCAGCATGCTAAGATGATACATTAACAGCAGGAACAGGATTGAGATACACATACACATACACTAGTACTACAAAGATCGATGGCTGATGTTCTCTTTTTAAGCCGTTTTGATTTTTGGGGGACGGGTTGGGCCCGCTTTTTCTCAATCTGTCGCGGATGGGGTTTCGCTCTCATGCATTTTTGGGTCGGGTGTAGTCTACGCAGACCGCCGCGGAAAGGGCTGCTTTCTCCCGTAACATTCAAAGGCGCTAAAGCCTGACCCTTGCAGAGTGATCGGGACCCGCGGTCCTTCGTAGGACGGGTTTTGCCCATACCGCTGTCTGCTTGCTTTCTGTGTTGGCAGAAGACAGGGGAAGGAAAAAGGCAATGAGCCCGCAGAATCTTCCCGAGAAAGCTGCAGCGAGGTGAGCTGTCGCAAGAGACAAAAGGCAGGCCGCCCCGGGCCCTTTACTGTGGTTTGGTTGTTTCGGCCGGAGAGCCCCAAAAGGCCCGCGAGCGGGGCCGGGCATGATAAGCCGGAGGGGGGGCAAGTAACAGCGCGCGCGGGCCCGAAACGGGGCAAGCCCGTGGGGGGCAGGCGGAGAAGCGGGCGGGCGCTCCTCTTGGTCCACGGGCCGCGGAGGAGGGCGAAGTTATTTGGAGAAGGGGGGGAGGGAAGGGACGGCAGCACCCTCTATAGCGGCCTACGGGGCCAGCCGTCGCGCGCTTTCAATCGAAGCGCGAAAGCGTCCCGACAGAATTCCGCAAAATGACTTTATTTGTCGGGACTTTTGCAGTGTGAAGTCGCAGGAAGTCACGGCTTTGTTGGCCGTTGCGCCGCAGCCATCGCGAACCCCAAGGGAGAAGGCCGGCAGCAGCGAGCAGCGCACGCCCTGCAGACGCATGGAAAGCCGTCGCGAGCTGCAACAGCGCGGCGAGCTGCCAAGCCGCGCTCCTTTGCGCGTTTGCAGTGGGAAAGCCTGCAAAAGTCCCGGGCTTCGGTGGAGAAAGCAAGCGGAAGGCGGTCCGCGTAAGTCGTCGACCCCTCGCGGACCGGCTGCCAGGTTTGGAGCAGGAGGCCCACAACCGAGCCAGCAGGCGGAGGACGCGTGGCCCTTTGCTCCAACGCCGTGCGCTCTTGCGCGTTTACAGTGGAAAGGCCTTCGACTATCCCGGACTCTTGGGGATATTGCAAGCGGAAGGCGGCCCGCGTGGGTCGTCGCCTTATCGCCGCACGGCTGCCGGGCTCATCGCGCAGCGGTGCGGGCTTGGATCCAATCGCGGCGGCCGAAAAAGCCGGCGAAAACCCCAAGACAGAGCATGTGGCGAATGAGCCCGCAAAGAACCAGCCGCGCCGCGATTCGCTTGCCCACATTGCTCCGCGCCCTCGATCTCCATACCCTCAACCCCTGCAGACCTGGGCAGGCGGTGTGGGTTATTTCAATCGGGCAGCACTAGCTCACCACCATGAACGCCCTAAGCCTCTGCCCTGCGTTCCTAAGTATTAGCAAAGCTGAACTTGCGCAGGGTCGTCCTGCTCCAGTACGCGCGAGCAAGCGCCGGGCAATTTCAGGCGCGGCGCCGTCGCCCCCCCAGTCCGCACCTGGACGGCGACGCTGTCCAGGATGCGCGGCAAGCAGCACCGACAGGGCAGCCCCGGCAGCATCCGGAGGGGAATGCGCTGCGCCTGCGAACAGGAAGCCGGGCCGTCCTTTGGGGACGCGGCCGCAGGTGCTCGCCTGCCCCTCATGTTCGCGCCGTCTGCAAGGTTCACGCGACCCCCCCGGGCCTGCTTCGCCTCTTTGTTCAGGTTCTCGCAGGTGTTCCCGGCCTTCGCCATTGCTGGCCGATACCATCCGGCGCCTGCGCACTCAGTGGAGAGGCTGACCACCCTGGCGCCCTTGCTGCCTGCGCCGCCTCCCGTCTTGCAGCAACTACGCCAAACGGCATCCGGGGAAGTGCCCTCAGCCCCGGCACCTTCGACCGTGGCGACCTTGGAAGGGGGCACCGCACTGCGGGCGTTTCGCGCAGCAGCGGGGTCCTTCTCCTGCAGATCCCTAGCGCTGGCGAAGTGCGTGGCCAGTGCAGGCCCTCGGACACCCTCGAAAGCCTCCGCCTGGGGCGGCTCTCGGTCTTTCGAAACGTGCTCCGTGTCTCCGGCCGAAGGGAGCGCCCCCGGGCGTTCCTCCTCCGCGGACCGCGCCCCGCTTGCGGGTCTCATCCGTTTGCCTACTGTCTCAGGGCGCTCCCCCTTCGCGGGGATCCTCGGGACCCTAGACGACCGCGCCCCGCTTCCGCCCCGCAAAGCGAGCCCCCACGGCCGACCCACCCGAAAGCGGGCGGCCGGCTTCCTCGCTGTCCCGCTGGGTTGGTCGACGTGGATAACAGGCAAAGCCCCGAGCGCCCGCGCCCGCGCTCGCGCCACGCGCGCGCGCTCTCCGCTATTTCGTCGAAAGAGTCGCCCCGACCGCGCTCGCGCCGCGCGCTAACACTTTCCGCCGGCCTTCAACGCCCGGCCCCTTTGTTGCCGACTGGGTTGCCTCGATCGCGCTCGCGTCGCTCGGAAACACTTGCCGCCGGCCTTCAAAGGCCGGCGGCTATTTGGCAAAAAGAGCTGTCGCTACCGCGCTCGCTTCGCGCGGTTCCGCTCAATACGCCCAAGCGCCCATGCCTCCACCCCCCTAACCCTCCGCGCCTTGCGCTCCCGCCTTCACGCATTCCCCGCCCCGCCCCACACCTCTCCGCCCCAAAAAATCCACGGGGGGAGGAGTATACTCGCGGCGTGGAGGCGAGACACTTTAACCCCTATCACGAGGCTTTGGGGCGGAGGCGCGGGGGGCGGCGGAGGTGGAGGGAGCGCGGGACCCTAGTGGCGGCGGCAGGGTGGGGCATCGGCGGTGGGGGGGGCGGGGGGGGCGGTCGAAGCACGGAGTAGGGCGTGGCTTCATTTTGCCACGCAATCGATGGCCCCCGGGCCACCGATGCGCGGCACAATACCACGCAACCGGCGGCCCTGGGGCCATCGAAAAGCGGGATCTTGAGGGCCGCCGAAACGCGTCGCAGCTGTATGGTGGAGCATATTCAAAAGCCGGCGACCTTTTCGCGATTGCACTCTCTCTACTGCGCCTGCCTGTAGTAGTTTGGTAGAATGGGCTAGAAGCTTCTGGACATTCTCAACGAATTTTGTACAGCGAAACTCGTAAAAGGCGTCCCCCCTCTCTTCTCTCCATGTTCTTAATGTTCTCCTCCACTGCTGGGGCTGTCACGTGTCGGCCCCTCCTGGTCCGCTTGATTCGTCGCTGGCCTAGTGTCGTAGCCTTCGTCGCTATCCTTCTCCAGTGTATGCCGTAGGTTTTCTAGTAGTTCTGCTTCGGACTCGGACAGTTTAGGGCGAGACTTTGGCGAGAAGCTCTCAGCTGGATCGGCCCACTTCTTCCAAGCGATTCCCTAGAGGGAAACAGGGGGAGGCGATGCCCCTCCATGCGTCACTCTTGGCAATGCCGTGGACTGGCGACGCATCCAGCAACACACCCAAACGATAACGACCACCACCCGGCTGCCTTTTTTATCGGTTGCCCATTTGTCGGGCACTTCAGTATCCAGCAAATTCTTGAAATTTTCCGAGTTGAAGTGTCCAAGCTTCACACTGGGCCCAAACGCTGCAGCAGTCCCCTGCTCATTTGTGACGGATTTCCATACAGGGCCGGAGCCTGCCCGTGCGATTTTCGGAGAAGACCTAAACGGCATCGGCGTCACATCGCGCAGCGTCCTTCGTCATGGTGCTTGTCGCGTTTGGGCGCGCGGTCCATCTTCTCGGGCTTGCCTCACTGGGTGGACTAAGCCCAGAAGGATTCCCACGCCCTGCGCTTTGCTGTTGGTATACATTTGAACACTGCGGGCACCTGCTGCACCTTCCCAAACTATCCGCGCCCGGCGCCTCTTGGCCTTAAGATTGTCTGCGCCTTCTGCCTGCTCCACCAACAAACTCGACCCGCCTGCCCAATCATTCCTCCACCAAGTTAGACCCATGGGGGCGGTACTTGAATACGGGGGGGACTGGGGTGTGAGGGATTGTCTGGATATTGGGAAGTATTTGAAAGCGGGGGGGCGTTTGGATGCCGGGGGGCATTTGAATGCTTTGGCGCATTTGAGTGCCTTGGAGTATTTGAAAAGCGGAGGGCATTTGAAAAATTTAAAGCATTTGGATACCCCGGGGCGTTTGAATAGTGGAGGCATTTGAATACTTGCGGGCATTTGAATACTTGCGGGCATTTGAATGCCAGGGAAGTGCCTGCATACTTAGGAGCAAACTAAAGGGCTTGAATGCTTAGGAATGTTTTAACACTTTGGGAGTTTTTTGCCTTGCTGTTTTCTGAGAAGCCACAACATTTCCCAAAAGCTGTCGGGCTAGCTGGTTTGTGGTTTGCGGGCTCACTATGGTACCCCAGAACCCGAAGCAGCAAACGAGATAAGACTACTCGCATGCCTATAGTGATAGCGGCTCTCACCCTATTCGCTTCGCCTTCTGGTTTGGGAACGCGATTAGAATCCACGAAAACGCGAACCGCAACGGCCCGCACCTTTTGCGAGTCCTTATCCTGTTGCAAGGCCATCTTTTTGGCCTCGGATCTCCTTCCCTAGCTTTGTCGTGGCGTGCTTTCTAAGCTTCGAAGCGTGACACTTTTCAGGGCTTTCTTTGCTGTTGTTGAAGCCAGGCCTGTGCTGTTTTTTGTCCGCTTCCTTCTCGAACATCAAAAAGAAACGGCAGCGGGCGAAGCTACAGCAACGCGCTAAGGGACAAGGACAGGAGCTTAAGGACGAGGCCGCCCTCTATAGGGTTCTACGCGAAACCAATGCAGAGAAGACGCTTGCTCTTTGAAAGTTTGAAGCTGGCAGGGGTTAGAAAGCTCTTGGGCCTTTTAGCCCTAAAGGCTTCAGACTCGTGAGAAGAGCCGCCACCATCGGGGGCGCTCTGTCCCTCGGGGGCCTTCTGCAAGTCTGACACCCTCAGGGCTTAAACGCCGCACGCTATTGCGAGCGCACGGCCACCAACTGCCTTCAGGGTCCCGGTTTTCTCGCTCCAGGTGTCTGATAGAAGCGAGAGAGCCGCAACCCCGTTGGAAACTAGTGGGGGGAATTGCTTACCACTTCCCTCCACTAGCTTCCCGCGGGACGCTATAGAGGGCGATCTAAGCCAAGCAATGCAGGAGCCCGCCCCCGGTTATGCCTGGGGGGTCGCCGACGTATCGCGGCCTGGCTGCCAAGTGTGGAGCACGGGGCCAGCGGGTGCGCCGGCTTGGTCGCTACCTTCAAGGCCGTGCGCCTCCGCGAATTCTGCTTGGAGGCTCGTCAAATATCAGGACCCTGCAGTCCCGCCAAGCAAAGCCGCGGAAGTGTGTGGGCCTGCAGTGGGGTCCCTTTTTGCCACCCGTTCGCCGCGCTGGGAGCAGAAGGGCCGGGAACCTCGTGCGAGTTTTGGTCACCTCGCGACCAGAATTCGCAAAGAAAAAAACAAGCGACTCCTTTCCCGGGGGCAGCTCCATGGGAGGGGGGATTGGCCAGGGGGGGGTAGGGTCGAGAAAGGGACCCCCTGGGCCTTACGGTTCTTCTAGTCGTGTAGGCAATTTGGTTTCGCTTCCTTACCATTTTGAAAATGTAAACAGAGGAGGCGCCAGCCTGTGTTAACTTCGCCGAATTCAGCACGGCAGGACAACTGTGACCGCAGTGAGCACACCCAACAAAAACACATCGGAGCAGCCTGTAGGAGGAACTTGAGAGGCACGCGATAGCGCTAGCACCAGCAGCGTGGCAATGGCTTGACTGTCAGCAACTTTTTTAGGATTCAGCTGACTGAGATCACAACAACAAAGGGCAACGGCCTCGCGCATTAGCTTGGTTGTAAGTTTCTTCTCCCCTGTTCACTTTGGTGGGAGCTTTGATGTGGCGGACGACGGGGAGCAGCGTTCCCCTAGTTGTGGGCCTCAGTCTCAGTCTTAACCTCAAGAGGGACGCGGAAAATGTCCACAAGACGGCGAGGGGGAAAAGTTCCTTCGGCAGAAGTTCACCGAGCTTGGCAAAAAATGCGGCAGAAAGTCCAAGAGGAAGGGGTGGCAAAGGTGTTCTTGGTGGCAGAAAATGCGGCAGAAAGTCCAAGAGGGGGGCAGAGAATGTACCAGATTGTCAGAAAATGCGGCAGAAAGTCCACGAGGGGGGTGGAAAGTGTTCCCGGGTGGCAGAAAGTCACGGAGGGGAATGGGAAGCGTTCCCGGGAAGGCAGAAAATGCGGCAGAAAGTCACAGAGGGGGGCGGAATGTGTTCCCGGTTGACAGAAAATGCGGCAGAAAGTCAACCAGGGGGGCGGAGAATGTTCCCGAGGCGGCGAACCTGGCAGAAAATCAACGAAGGGGGCAAGCCTGGCAGAAATTCAAGAAAGGGGCGCGGAAAATTCTCCCGAGGAGGTGGCAAACCTGGCAGAAAATCAGCCCGGGGGGCGGAAAATGTTCCCCAGGCAGCAAACCTGGCAGAAGATCAACAAAGGGGGGCAGAAAATGTTCCCGAGGCCGCAAGCCTGGCAGAAAATCAACAAGGGGGGAGAAATTGAAGCAGAAAGCAAAACCTGGCAGAAAATCAACAAAGGGGGGCGGAAAATGTTCCCGAGGCCGCAAAACCTGGCAGAAAATCAACAAAGGGGGGCGGAGAATGTTCCTGAGGCAGCAAAGCCTGAACTTTCCCCCGGGCAGAAATTGAAGCAGAAAAGGGACGGGGGTGGAAACTTTCCCCCGGGCAGAAATGCTGTTAGTCGTTGTTGCTAATCGTTGTTGCTAGTCGTTGCTGCTAGTCGTTGCTGCTAGTCGTTGTCGCTGGTCGTTGTTTAGGGGCCACGTGTCCCAAAAAATGGCCTCAAGGCGCAAGCGCCTTAGTGTCAAAGCGCTAAGCAAGGCCGAGCATCCTGCTCTGCGCTTTGAGAGTAGCGCGCTGCTTGACAATAGCGCGCTGTCAAAGCGCTAGTAAGGGCGTTTGTGCCTTGAGGCCATTTCTAGGGGCCACGTGTCCCTTAAAATGGCCTCAAGGCACAAGCGCCTTTTTGTCAAAGCGCCTTTTTGTTGGACTGTTGGGCTGAGATTTCAAATTGGTATCCATTTGCAATCCTAGGCCGAGAACCGGAAAAAATGCATTCAAGAACTTGAGCAAACACGCCTAAGGAACCAACTAAATTAAGTCGGTCGCTACTCTCCCTTCGAACCACTTGGGCCAGCCATCTTTGAGACCTTTCAAACTTTGAGGAATTTAGGATGCTCAGGGAGCTGCGACCTATGATTTCTTAGCCGCATGCTGTTAGTCGTTGCTGTTAGTCGTTGCCGTTAGTCGTTGCTGT